CTGTGATTCTGTGACAGCTATATTCCAGTGCACCGAAGTGGGCAGGGACACCTGGTTATGCCAGGACATCCCTTTCTTGTTGCTGTAGCTGAGTAAGGAAAACAGGGTCACAGGTTGCAAGCCTACTGTTGCTGTTCTGTCCAGATTTGAGGGTGGCTGTCACATCTTAAAATAAGTTTTGGAAGGGCTCCATCTTGCAACATATTTTTAATAATAAAAAGGTTTCCCATATTTTTAATGGTTGAAGAGGCGCTTAGATTCTTGTGTAGGATCACTCAGTAGCATTTAAAAAGAACTAAAGTAATTTCAGGTTTTTATGTATTACATTTAATAAAATTAGGTATTATTAATTGTATGGAACCCTGTTAACAGTTGATTAAAGAAGAAATTGACAGCTGACCTTATTCAGTACCAGTAATATAAACTTGAGTGCTATCCACATGATAGTACGAAGCATGAGTTATACTTCCAGGAAATACCAAGCTGCAACTTGAATTTTGGAAGATTTATCCTGATAAAGTTCTACCATTTACTTTGCATGGTAGAATAGTAACAACAAATGCATAGCAAAAGCTACGTCTCTCCTATAGCAACTAGTAGGAACTGTCACTGGTGAATATGATCTAAGTTAGACATAAACACACCATTTTCAATGCTATTCTCCATCTAAAATAAGATCTAAATAGTCTGCAGTAAAATATTTAGACCTGTAGCAATTCCTGTACGCTTCTCAGAATATAAAGGCATAAAAGTGCTCCGACCTATAGGGCAAATAAAGAAGTGGATTTTAGAATAGACAAAAGTCCAGAAACAAAACAGTAAAATTGGAAAAATCTTCTGAAGAAGAAAAATTCCATGGGCTTGTAGGAAAGCACTGAACTAGTGCACGCTGGAGCTGGAAACTAGAGGGTGAAAAGCAACAAGAGAAAATTAGGATATCATCCTTCCTCCTCTAAAGTAACTGACCCTCTTCACTGGCCCATAACTTCAGTGCTGTTGAAAGGTCTGTAGCAGGAGAAGAATTTTTCATGTACATAAGGTTTTCAAAGGCAAGGTGTAGCATTTGCAGGGCTGCATAAATGCAATGGCAAGTACTCAGATATTGCATCTATACTCAGCTGATGAGGAAAGTTTATTTAGCAAAGCCATTAAAGCCTGATTAAAATTTGATGGGATAATAGGATAAATGTGGTAAGTCCACTGGGTCTGAATTGCTACCAGTATTGATTAACACCCCAGTGGGAATCCTGTCAAAAGCATACTTCAAATCTAAGCCATGGGAATCAGAATAAAACCCTGGATAACAACCGCCATATCATTCAGATGAGTGTTTTATGTCCCTATATGACAAGCGAATGAAATGAGATAATGGAAAGTTGCCAAAGGATTGGTTTGACCCACAGATGTACGTGGGGATTTGCAAATGTTGAAAATATGAGGCCAGATTCATACCTGGTATAATTTCACCAACTTAGTTGAATTTTCCAAGGGTTAAATATGGCCCATAGTCTCTGTCCTGATCAGCTTAAATCAGACAAATATTTTTATATATTGGAAGATAACAGTTTATAGATTGTAAGGGACTACAGCTGGCATGGAAACTGATGCAGAAGTGATTACAGAGAGACTTGAGAAAGAGAAGACTGTTTTGCTGACAGGAAAAATGTAGTTGTTCGAACTGCAAGGCTGGCAATGAAACAATATAAAACCAAGCATGAGAAGGGACAGAGGAGAACAGATGCAGAAGAGGATTCAGAGAAATACACAGAGGGAGAAGGAGGACAGAATAAAATTGCAAGTGGTATGTTAGCAAGTCTGTCATTTCTTTAAAGGTGGAGATAAGAAGCTTGAACTTTTTGTGTCAAGGCAGAAGCCCAAAGAAATTTGAAAGAAGGGGGGAGAGAATGGCAAAAGCATGAGATTGTTTTTAACTCGGGCATTTCTGCTGTACTGGTAAGGCAAATACTGAGATTTGGAAAGAGCAGAAAAAGGTTATGTTTTATGAAAAATCAGTCAAGCATGGTCTAGATTTGACAGAGCACAAATTAAAAAAAGGAAGGAAGGAATGCTTGTGATCCAAGGGGACAAAAGGTTAAGGGAGGTGTTGCAGATGACTCTGAGCTGTTAACAGTGATAAAGAGGAGGTAAAATCTAGAGGTTTGGGGGGTTGGCTTTGTTTGGTGCTTTGTTGTGGGGGCGAGGGGGGCTTGGTTGGTTGTTTTGCAAAAGTAAGTCATAGGTGCTTTGTTCCAAATCCTAATTCTACAGTTAGCTAAAAAAAGTTATCCATACAGGGTAAGTGTGAAGAGTATTAACTGTTTGCAACCAGCTTAATAAATTTTGAGTCAACTGAACATTTAGAATTATTAAATAAAAAGCAAAACCCAAATCCTGTGTGGTGTCATTACATAAAATATTGGATAGGGTTCATGTCCTTTCTTTATTGGAAGAGGCTTAAAGTATTGAATAATATTCTCTTTTTTCTCTCTTTGCTTAATTGCTAGATGGAAAGTTTTTATTTAAAATATCTGTCACTGGCATGTTTTGGACTCTGAGAGGTTCCCCTTATTCTTGCGGTAGGGGCCCGCAATAGGGAACATCATAGGCACAGGAGATGGCCTTTTGTAAAATGTCTGGTTATCACACTTGTGTCTTGACCCTCAGCTGACTGTCATCTGCAGAACTAACTGCTTACGGGTGGCTTTGATGGAGAGAACAAAGGAAGGGGGTTGCTTATAGGTGTGACATGATTGCTTGGAGAGATCGGCCTCCACTTTTGTATAGGGAATTTAGCGACAAAAAGGCTCCAGAGCACTGACACAAGAGGAACAGTGAGAGCATTCAAGGGGAAAGTTGCTATGAATCAGTCATAGATAGCTGGTTTCAAAGAAGTGTCATTAAACGTGCTTTGTTTGGAGAAATCTGTGTGATGGCTGTGGTGTTTGGCCACTGATGGAAGTGTGGCTCCTTAAATACTAGTGTTGCTGAGAAGTATGATGAGGCTGTGAGGTGTTCCAGATGACCAGATGTGTTAGTATCTGAATTTTTGCATTCTGATATGTTGGCTTAGAATAGCAGCTTGGAAGCCTAACCATGAAGTGACTGTGCATATCTTCCTTTTACCATTTTCTTTCTGGTTTTTGTCTTGTTTTGTTATAACCTGACATAGTAGTATTGGTTAGTAACTGGCAAATGTTGCCCGTAATGCAGGTTTTCATATACTGCTGCACTTGGGCTTTTCTTCCAACCAATTTTATGAAAGGAATTGAAAGAGTTTCAAGACACTCCGCAAGTTCTACAAATTGCAGAATCCACATTGTCTCTGCCTTTTCTGTTTGCTAAGTTTGTCTTTCTTTGTGTTTGTACCCAATAGAGTTTAATTGAATAATAGTGACTTTAGGAACTAGTTCCTCCAACTTCTTTATAGGCAAACAACTTTTTCTATGCGCGCTAATTGACTTAACATTTAAGAATGTATAATTTCTTGATTTAAGTACACGTATAATATATGTGAGGCGGGTCTTGATCTAGTATTGCTTCATCTCAGAAGAGAGATTAATAACAAGAAAAGCAAGTAACACCAAACTTCTCCCTCTCTGGGGTTTTGTGGTTTGCTTGTTTGTGCGTTTTTTGGTAGCCTTAATTACATCTGAGTACTAATTCTTTATTTCTTTAAATGTTTATATCCTGACTAGCTAGATATAGGCCCCAAATCATTGAATCCTGATGGAAATGCTTAAATACTTTGCTGATCAGGGATAAAGTTAAGCATATCCATACAGTTCAGCCTATTGCTTTGCTGAATCTAATGAATTTACTGAACTTACTGTAAACTTCTCCCCTACAAAAATCATCTTGCTGAAATGCATGAGCTAAGCAATAGAAATGTCCCGAATGCTGATCAGGAGGACACCGCTACTTGTCTGTAGCCCAGTGCTGAAGGTGTTGAAAGAGAAAATGGAAAGTTAACTTGCTTGCAGGGAAGAGTTGTTTGTTTTTGTTTGGCTGTTCCTGCTAACACAAAAGCCTGGCTCGCTGAATAATCCATGAGAAGCTAAATGTCTGCCAGCCAAGGTCACAAATACTACTGTAAGCAGTCTGCTGTAAATGGTAGATAGGGCAGACCTAAACCAAGCAAAAAGCCTATAATGAGATTTCTGTACAGGTACTCACTTGGTCCCTACTGCCACATAATTCAGGAGTCTTCTGATTTAGGAGGTGCAGAAGCATTAACTTTAACTTTGCGGATGGGAAACTGAAGCTCATCAAGACTGACCAGATGGACAAGCGTGGTTAACAACATAACTCTTATTTACATGTTCAACTCCAATAGATTTCAGCAGGAGTTAAGCAGCTTGCATTCATGGGTCTGGGCTTAATGGGCTTAGTCAGCCAGGAAGGCTTTAGAAAAGCTACACGACACCTGAATTTCAGCCCGAATCTCCTTTTTAATCTAGTGTTTAGAGATTATATGGTGTTAGGTGCAGAACAGACATGAGGTAAAGCCCCAAACTTTTTCCAGGTTTGTTTTTTTTTTTTTTTAAACAAACCAACCCCCCCAAAAAACCCAAAAGTGAGGTAACAGCAGTACTTCATGGAGACAATCAAGGCTGAGGCAATAAAAAGAGGGCTTTTTGTTTCCTGAGACCATGGAGAAGAGCTGGAGAGAGAGGATTTTTCTGTGTTGTCATTCTTCTATTAAAAAATAGTGTTTGGGGAAAGTGTTCTTGGTAACTGAGGGTAAAAGACATTAAATGCTGTCAGTAGCAAGATTGCGGAGAGCGTGAAAATGTGGAAGAAAAGGGGGGGATAAATGCACAATGAGAGATGGGATAGCTTGCACTGCTGAGCAAGTTAAATGCTTGAAAAAACAAGCTTGCAGTGGGCAGGTTGGCTGGATGCATTACAAATGTATTTTAAATATGAGCTGTAGTTACTATCAATAGTATGAAATTTATGAAAACTAGCTGTGTTCTTTGAACTTGCATCTTTACTTGCAGAGGCATGATGGCCACTTCACAGTCATCCAGCTGGTTGGCATGCTGCGGGGGATTGCATCTGGCATGAAGTACCTCTCAGACATGGGCTATGTACACCGCGATCTGGCAGCCCGTAATATCTTGGTCAACAGTAACCTCATGTGTAAAGTCTCTGATTTTGGTTTGTCACGAGTGTTAGAGGACGATCCAGAAGCTGCTTACACAACAAGCGTAAGTTTGTCTTATCTAATTTGAACAGTTGATTGCCTTGTGCCTCTTTTATTCCAGTTTCAGATTTGTCTATGCCATAGGAATAGTAGTTTGAATTGGCTTTGTTCCATTCTCCATCTGTGTGGTTTAATAGCACTGCCAATGTGTTTAAGGGAAGCTGTTTTGATTTTTGGCTGTGTAAGGGATGTATAATAAACTTTGGCAAAAATTTTGTTGTGTTTTTTTTTGGTTTTTTGTGGTTTTTTTTTTAATCAAATGTGCAGGTATAAGTGGGAGACCTTTTCCATTCTTGCTTGGGTTTTGTGTTTGGTTTTTGTTAGATTTTTTTTCCACATCGTTTCCCCTTCTGTTAACTTGTATTCATTTACAAAGATATGTTTTTAAAAGACAGGGATGGGGGAGGAGAGAATCTCACCAATTCCACTGTTGGAAGCATGGTATCAAGCCTTGCATTCATAAATTCAAATTTTAATTTTATTTTACTTAAGCTTACCTTCTAAAAGGATATGTAGGACCTTTCTCTCCAGGTTTAAGTCTCATTTCATTAATACTTAAATTCCTTATGTGATGCAAGTAAATTGTTATAGTGGAAAATGGGGTGTGGGTGGGTAGGTGGGTGGTTTGGTTTGTGGTGTTGGAGGAGCAGTTTCCACTGAAGTGAAAAACTGTTGAACATGGAGAAGCTTGTTCAACTTTGACTTAGAAGAAAAAAGTAAATTGCACCTGCAGTATGAAGAAAGTAGGGAAAGGAGCGTGGTGCTAATAAAATTACAAGTTCAGATACAGCATTTTTTCACTGTACCAAAATGTTCAATTACATTCCTGTTATGGCTACTACCACAATATTAAGAATCATAGCTAATTATAAGCTGATTTCAAGTAACTTTCGTATCTATCACTGAAACTAAAATTATTGCAGAGTCAGAGTGCATTCTCATCAGTACTCTCACAAAATACACAGAATTTGTATGTTCCCATGATAGGGCACAGTGACAGAATTCTAATAGAGATAATAAATTAGCATTAAATAATTTATTTCAACCTATTTCAACCTTTTTTTCTATTTCACTTTAAAAAGTGATGTATGGCCAAAATAAGGAACTCATCATTTAACTTTTTATTGTAGTAAGTACTCTGGTGTATCTGT